TATCATGTATAGATTTTAGCGTCATTCTTGTTACTGATGCAACAAAAATTTAACTTCTCCATCATAACACCAAATTCCTAAGAGGGATGATGATGAATCAAATATGATGGCAAAATTAAAAGCTGAAAACATACCTTATCATATTATGTATTTATTCATTGTCAAAAATCAACAATGTTGAAATGCAGGAAGAACATATAATCTTAATCGTGGTTATCAAGAGAATAGTATCGAAAAGAATGAGTATGAAGTACTAATACAGGTACAAGTTTAGCCAAGACGGGTAATTCTGATGAAAGTGCAAAGTTGGAAGATCAGGTGACCAATAAAAGATTTCAACATAGTTGTTGTGAGTGGATAGCTGGAATTATCAATTGTGCTTGGGAGTGTACAATCTAAGATTTTAAAAAAATGAAAAACCCAAAGTTGTTGCTACCAAAACTGCTGCGGATGGTAGAACAACGTTAATCTTAGGATGCTTGATGGAGTTAAACAGTTGGACATATTGGAAATAACAAGAGCAATCTCTGCTGAAATTGGTAATTTAATATCTACATTTAAAATGCATACCTACTTAGTCCAGGTTTTTTAACAAAGTAAATTAGTGTGATCTTTCAGATACAACAAAGCAAAAATAATAATTAGATAAATATGTCACTCGACACTACATACAACAAACAAACATGACTATGGAATACACAATATGGAATCTCACCTCATTGTTTACACAGTCCACAGCCAGTTCCTAGTAGTGTGCCCTATTTATTACTTCTTTCTTGACATCTGGGCTGTTTGATCAGGTTATCAAAACATCATCCTCAATATTCAGGCTATCTACTCAGGCTCTAAACTACACCTACAACTTCCAGAAAACTCTTAACCAGTGATGGGTGGGTAGAAACAAATGACAAAGATAGACCTAGCAGTAAAGACAAAAGAGGAAAAACAATTTTCTACTCTTTTCCTTAAAAATAGCTATTTACTATAACCTTATACTTAATTAGTCAAATCAATATTTCTCATCATCCCTCTTAGGAATTTGGTGTTATTTAGAGAAGTTAAATTTTTGTTGTATCAGTAACAAGAATGATGCTAAAATCTATATATGATACAATATGCTCTTCTGTTTAATTCGGCAAAGATCTATATGAATATTTTGTCCACTAAGATGAGTATATTATACATTTAATTCAATTTCATTCTTATATTGAAATTTATTAAAATATACTATACTGATTCTTGACTTTTATTCGGTATGCTTTACATTCTGTGTCAAACAAAGGTATCTGTAGTATTAATGATTAAAATAGGTATTTTATCAGAAATGGTTGGTTCCTTGCATTACTGTAGTTGTATGCTTCACTTTCAATTAATTATTTACTCAAGTCAACGAGTAATTCAATTTTGTTTATCATTTGGCAAGTTTACTAGACAATTTTTTTTTAGATAATTTTAACTAATATTAATTATTTATTTAAATCTGTAAGCTGTTCCTATTTTTATCTGTCATATCATAAGTTTCTACTGGGTATCTTTATACATGTATGCTGATTATATTTATTTATTTATTATTTATTTTTGGCAAAATTAGTACTTAATTTTGGTGCACTATCTTAGATCTAGACTAAAGGTTAAAATTTCGATTCTAGCAACGGTATAGTAATTTCGAATGAAAAGTTCATTAAATTTCGCTTTTCACAATTCGATCATTCAGATTGATAACTTTATTGGATCAGGTTTTTCGTACCTATATATATAGGCTAGGCAGATGACTTACTATACGTTAAATATTTCAAAATTATAATACATTTCTATATTTATGATTATTTATTTATTATAAATAAAGAATTTTATTAAATGTTGAATAGTTTATACAATGAAAATGATTTTTATTAATGTTGATAATAAAATAATATTTGGATTAAATTTTGAATAATGTATAATGAATATTATTTAATCTATTAAAAGGGATTCACTCGATCACACTCTCATATTTCAGTATTTTGTAGATTTAAGTTGAAATCTTCTAAAGCAACAATAAATAATATTTTTCACTTGTATATCGTTGAGTTTTTTGAGAATCACATGCTTAGCACTAGGTGTTAGCCTATATACTTTAAATCAGTTATCTTCTATTTAATTAAGCCTAGTTAAATAAGTAAATGGCTAATAATTTATAAAAATAAAATAAATATGGTGTCTTTGTCTTGAAAATGACCTTACAGTATTATGTATTATAAGGTCATTTTTAACCTATATAGAATTTATCTTACTTCTTCCAACAAACTCATAAAAATTCTGAGATCTATGTTTTAAAAGTCAATTATACATTGAGAAGTATATAATAGTGCTTATTTATTGTATTCATCAGAAATTATTTGTATGTTATCTAACCAGGTCACTGATCATTTTTTTGAATATTATTTAATCTAATAAAAAAAATCTATTCAATCACATTCTCATATTATGTGAATGTAGATTGAAATTCTTTAATAAAATTATTAGTAGTCTTATTTCCATTTATCTATCCTTGAACTATTCTCTGAGAATCACATGTCTAGCATCATACTTAAATGTTTGCATCTTTTCTAATCTCATAACTTCTTTTAAATGAAAATTTAAATACTAATATGCCCATTCGCAACTGTGTCTGAGTTAGCCCATATATAGTGAAACCTCTTTAAATACACACTCTATACATACAGATTCTGGCTCAAGTATATGCCTGACCTTCATAAATGCACTTTTTCTTATTGTTCTCTAAGTGCAAGTCATTAAGTTTTGGTCCCGAGTGCATGCATTTAGAGAGATTTTACTATACTTTTTTGTTATCCTATTTGAAGTCAGTGTGTAGTGTTAGTACATTTACCACCAATACTAATACCGTTGCTTTTATTGTTATTCTTACCAATGTCATTTTCACTATTAATTTGTTAGTGTTTTCACGTTTTTGTTCTACTTTTTTTTGTAAGTTTGGCTTTGAAGCCTATATGCCAGTTTATACTCGTCATATACTAGAAAGTAAGTTATTAGCAAATATTTATAAATAAACTAGCAGGCTGGCAATAATTTTGATGATTAGAACTTATCTGCATTTGGTTAGATTATACGCAGAGCTAGGGTGCTTTAACTTCAGGTAAAGATTTTAAAATTACAAATGATTGAATAAAAAAGTATATTTAGCTCAATAAATAAAAGTCTTGACTATAACAGTTGCACAATTTGTCACATCACGATTTTTATCATATGATTTTCATAAATTACACAAATCGACAAATTCACACTTTTGAAATTTTTTTTAAACCTGTAGTTAAAATATGTAAAATACTTCTAAAAAAGTTTATTACTGAAGTTTTTACAAATCGAATGCTATAAAAAATACAACGTATAAATTTCTCTACATAGAATATAATGCCTTCGAAAGTAGGTAATTATTTTATATACTTTCAGAAGATTCTTTTCAAGCTTGCAACTTTTTAACAGAATTAATGATTCATTAGATGTGCCAATGTTAGATCTTTCGACAAAATGCATGTTCGAAAGGTTAGTAAATTATAAACTTTACTGCAAAATTTAAGAAAAACAGTTTTATAGTAAGTAGATCGCTTAATATTACATATAAAAAGTTCTTTTGAAGCAATTTTGGTACTACATTTTTTTATTTATTTAGGTTTAGAGTTGTAATTGCAACAATTATAATACAATTGGTTCAAAGATAAGTATAGTAATAGAAGATTTTGTATTTTAGATAAATATAGTATATAATAAAGTATATATCTTTTTTTTTAGACGAAATCTGGGCTGTAAAACAAAAAAGATTTATTACACCATTTATTCGTCTTCATTTTGAATATCGTTATTATTTTGAGCATTATCTTCACTTTGAGTATCATTCTTATTTTGAGTATTTTTTCGTTTCTTCTTTCATTGCTTTAAAGCCACTACAGAATCTTTAACCAAGTTTTTAATTCCTCTTCTCTTTGATTTTTTTTTTTTAGTCAAGTAAACTTCTTCTGCAAGAAGGTTTTGCATATGTTCTATTCTATGTTGATAACAAGTTTCCATATTGAAGAATCCTTTCGTAGTATTTTGGGTTGTGTAATCAAAAAGAGAATGACTGTTGGGATCTGGATTTTGAAATGCATTATATATCTGTTCACTTAAAGCCCATGTTTGTTCAAGTCGATTTGGTACAACACGATCATCAATATCTATTACTTGGTCAACAAATTCATCAAGAACTAATAGTTGTTTAATTTTATCTTAGCTTCCTTGTATTTGTCGGTATAAGTTTTTCTCATCTCCAGATTTTTTTGTCATCATCTCTTTAACAGATTTAACACCATATGTCTCTAAAGCTTCGTCGTATGCTAGATAATGCCCTTTACATGTAATATTAATATATGGTACTTGATATAGTCATTTTTGAAGTTGTGTATTTTTATGTAATTTTTCTAAAAAAATAGCAACTGATTCTGCATATCTAAATTTGCTAGTAACCGGAAAAAGTAGTGCAAATGCAGCGAGACATGCAATTTGCAAATCGAAATTTCCTCTTTGAATTCCAATTTTGTGTGCTTTCCAATAACCTGTCCACCAATAATAATTTAACCAAACTTTCAAAATATTATTAGACCCATTTTTAATGTCATCAATAGTTTTATTTGTATCTTGTAGATGACGGTGAATTGCAATTCCGACTGCTGCCCAGATTAGCTCAAGAACTGTATATATTGCATGATAATCCGAACCTTTCTCTAAATTCTCTAAATATCGAACACCAAGCTGCAATGCCATATTAAAAATTTCATAACCAAAAAAGGCTGCAAGTAAGGCTTGGCACATGTCTTTTGAAGTGTGCCACTGTCCAAGAATAATATTAGCAGTAAGATCTTTATTTTCATAACTTTTAAGTCTTCGAAAAATAGCTTTATCACATACAATATCGATTATATTAACTCCTGTATTTGCTACATCATTTAAAAACATATCGCATGTCTCATATGCATTTTTATTGGAATTTGGTGCCAGACTGGGTTTTAGAATTATTATCTTTGGTTTATCAAATTTGCATCCTATTTCAATAGTTTTAATAATCTTTTGATGAATATCACTAATATCAAATTTATTTTTCTTTTCCAAAAGCAGTTCTTCAAAAATTCGATTATAATTTTTATTTAGATTATCTGTAACTATTGATAACCCAATCATAACTTGGCTCAATTGTTCAGAAAAAAAGGCTGAAGGATTATCAGGCAAATTTGGAAGAAGTTTAAACTGGAATGTGATACGTAGAGTAGCATGTGCAGTTTGCCGTGCAGTATCATAAATATTTCCGTATGCAAATGTTTTTTCTTTTATATCAATATTATCAATAACTGATAAATTATAGATATTACTTGTAATTTTAAGTCTGTTAGCAGGATTAGCACTTTCTATGCGCCATCTTTCTGTACAAACTTTATGATCCCAAACATAAGAAATTATATATGCAGAACAAAGAATTTTATGAAGCTTTGAAATCATATTTGGGTGTCTACAAAGTGAGCCCAAGATATGAGGTAACCAAATTTTCCAACGACGAAAAGAAATTTCCATCACAATTGATACTAAAAATATTGTGATTCTTTTAATTGATGTTAAATTTAATGGAATTG